GACTTGGCGTATTACAACTCAGAAGCAACTGCTATCGCTCCTCCAGCAACAACGCTGCAGATGCTGCTGCTGCTGCTACTACTACTACTACTACTACAACTACAACTACAACTACAACTACTACTGCTACTACTACTACTACTACCACTACTATTACTACTGCTACCGCTACCGCTACCGCTGCTTCTACTACAAGAACTACTATTATTATTATTATTACTACTACTACTACTACTACTACTACTACCACAACAACAACAACTACTACTACTACTACTACTACATTTAAGACGATGGACCGCTGCAGCAATGAGGGAAGCACTGCAGCTGCAGCTAGCGATGCGAACAGGACTATGAAGAGTACAAAGAGTAGAATTCTTGCATGTTCTCAGCCACGTTCCTGATCAGACAGCAGGCCATCAGCCTTTTTTCCAGAAAGCCCAGGCCGCACTACTTCTCTCTCTCCTCGGCGGCCGCCCTCTTCGGGCCGAAGGCGCCGAACGCCGTCTCAGACGTCGAGGCGACATCCATGCGCCCAGGCCCTGTGAAATGTTGCGTGCATTGTCGTGTTTATGCTCACGGCGAATCTGCTGGCTTGCGGTGATGGCATGTTAATGAATCGTGGATGCCGCAAAACCACAAACGCAATGCGCCCGGCATGCGCGCAGCATCCAATCAACATAGAAGTCAGAAAGGCAAAGGCAGTGGGTCGTGGGTCCCAACCAGGACACAAGAATGCAAGTACTGGGCTCAGAAGGATGCCGAGTCCCAACAAGCGGAAGTCGCCGAATGCCCAGGATGCTTTCAAAGGTCCAAAATACAAGATCTTGCTATCGCTATTGCGCTTCCATGCCTTTGGTTGCCCCCTTGCGATTCAATGCTGGGATCTATTGGATCCGATTTTCTGTTACCTGATCTGGCTCCGACCTTCAATCAATGATTAGTGGTGCACGACAAGTGCATCAAAGACAATGAGAACATTTTATGATGGCTGTCGGAGCAGCTACCCTCCCCTGCTGCAGCGGCTGCTGCTATTTCTGCTACAGGTACGAGTACTGCAAGAAGTTCTACTAGAACGAGTACAGGTATGCACTACTTCTGCTGCTGCCGCTGCTACTGCTGCTGCTTCTTTTGCTACTTCTTCTGCTATTGTTAAGAGTTGCAGCGCCTTGCAAGCTCTGGGATGTGTGGAATGTATATTTCTGAGAGTCCTGTGTGAGTTTTCTGTGAGCGTTACCTGTGAGCAGGGGGCGGGGCTGTGAGCAGGGTCTGTGAGATTTCTGTGAGTGGGGGGTTGAGAGCGGGGCCCAGTCTGTGAGCGGGGCCGGGGTTGACGGGAGTGGCCCGCTCACAGACCGGGCCCCGCTCTCAGACCCCACTCACAGAAATCTCACAGGCTCGAAACCGCCATTTCCTTGTGTTTTACAGTAGAAGGGAGCCCCGGGGTCTGTGAGTTATGAGTGGGGTCTGTGAGATTTCTGTGAGAGGGGTCTGTGAGCGGGGCCTGAGAGCCGGCCCCCAAGCAGCTCTGTAAACTCGGCTCCGACCCGCTCACAGAATACGCACACCTGCAGCTCACAAGAAACACAGCCCTGAAAGCTCTTTTCACCAAACCCTCAGATGCCTCTCTCACTGTCTCTCTCAGAAACCTCACAGAAATAATTGGGTTACCGTCGTTCAGAGTTCAGAGGCTGCAAGACCTGCCACTCATAATACTATTGCTGCTCCACTTGCCCTCAAAAGTTACTTTCTCCACAAGATTTCGAAACCTGCATCATCTGTCTAGCAGTCTAGCAGTTCTGCGCCCTCTTACTTTTACGGTGAACTAGGAATTCGTAGGTTCTGGTGAGCATCCTGAAGTAGCCAAGGTGTTGCTGCTGGGAGATCCGGGTCTCGGGAAAAGCGAGCTGCTGAGGGCCCTGGCCAGGCTCACAAGACTTGGAAGTCTCCGCTAGGCCGATCTGGTAGGGTTTATAGGGCTTAGGTAGGCGCATCAGGGACGGTTGCACGTCCAGGGGACCAGAAGCTTCAATCTCAAACGCCTCCAGGAAGCAGGACTAGGCCAGGGGTGTGGAGCTCGCGCTTACGAATCTTGGTGCCCAAAGCATCTCAGAATCCTATGCCAATGCTCCATGCATCACATAAAGGTTCAAGCCTCATGAAGCTTCAAAGCTGACAGAGCCCCATGAAGAGAGCAGAGCGGAGCTCTCCTGTCACCCTTCTAAGAGTTCTAACTTTATATACTGTGCAAGCTTGGGTCCTGAACGCGGGATTTCCTGGTGCCTTGATCTGCACTCCACACCTTCACAAGTCTCGAATTCAGCCAGTAACCTCCAACTCAAGCAGATCCTTGGAGCTGAGCACCAGGCTCAGCTCCGGAGGCAATAAGCACGCGCAACTTGACCGTCAACCTGACAGGAAGCCATGCATCACAGAATTACAATGATGACACCAACTCTAGCTCTAGCCCTATAAAGCTTCTGATGCTTGATGCCAGGCTAAGCTCTCGTGGCGTCTACGTCTCTGGCAACTCCTCCTCAACGGCGGGGCTCACTGCCTCGGTCGTGCGCGATCCCAGTGGGGAGTTCGCGCTAGAGGCACGCGGACTAAAGGTTAATTGCAATTGTCTCAATCTGGGAGTGAGGTGTACACAGTTTAGACAGACAGGGTACCAAAAAAGCTTAGGATTTGTGGCAGGGTGTTTAGCGCCGTTCAAGATGGGGGCTACTGCTCCTGCGACTGCTACTGCCACTACTACTGCTACGACTACTAACTACAACAACACCAACAACAACTACTACTATTACTACTACTGCTACTACTACTACTACTACTACTACTGCTACTACTACTACTACTACTACTATACTCCTACTCCTATTACTACTACTACTACTACTACTACTA